TATTACCGTAGTAACGCGAGCGTTACGTTCACGCCACGTGCCGCTGGGGGGGGGGTAGGGGTCAACATGTCACACTGCTACAATATTTTATTAATTGTAATTTAATTTGATAAATGCACACAGTTTATGCACACTTATTACAGATTATAGTAATAATGTATTCAGAAAAATTAGAAGCACATTGCAAGTGGACTACTACTGATCTAATAACTTGGTCTTGCAGTTCCTCACAGTTTGTTGTGTGTGACGGACAGTTCTAAGAATAAAGTTACAGACACCCCAATACATATTTGATTAAGAGTCAAATATAACAAATCCCACTCTGAGAAACTTATGACACTGCCATTGCTTTTTATCTAGATGCATATTTATAACAGACCAGGCTTTGTTTTCTTTTTAAAGGTGCAGGTGCATCAGCAATGTAGTGAAGGCAGAAGTCTAATTTTAGTAGAGGCTAAACTTTGGTACAGTAAATACAAGTTGCCATGACACCTAGTTTCTGGGATTTGATTTATGTTGTAGATATGAAAATGAGATTTGTGCTGAAGAGTTAGAGAAGAAGCGAAAAGCAATTGATGACAGTACCAGTGAGCTGAGAATGCAAATGAAAGAGGTTGCTGATGCCAGGGAAGGGAAAAACAAAGCTATCAAGGAGTGTACTAAGTAAGTGTAAAGGAACTGCAACTTGTTATGTCCATATTAAGTTGCTGTGGATTAAACTGTTTTTTCGCAACTTTCTTTCGCAAATAACAGTTGTACCTGATTTGTGTTCGAGTTTGTATGTTCATATGCATTAAAATTGGCCTGAATTTGCAAAGTTTAAGTGAAATTTGATTTGATTCAGCCTGGTCCATCACACTAGTAATAGTATAAAAGAATATTAATGCTGTCCAGTGTGATTGATATTTTTTTTTTTATCTTTCATCCTTAACATGTTTCAGTTGGAGCGATCATTTTCAGAAGGACATATCAGTACATACAGAAACATTGTAATAGTACTAGCTTCCACATGTATTGATATGTCCTTCTGAAGTTGGTCGCTCTGACTGCAACGTGTCAAGGGTGAAAGATTAAAAAAAGGGGGGAAAAGAAATAAAGTTTGTCAGTCACAGTGGATGGTGTCAAATCTTAATGAAGTGAAATATTAAAAATGTTTGTTGTATTTATATAATTTCTTGTGTTATAGAAGAATGGTTTTGTGTTTTTCATTTAAGTGTTCCACCTCACATTTCATATGGAGTGATAAATTGTCTTGCATTCTGGTTGAGAATTTTTCATAATTTGCATTAATTTTCCTTGTTATCAGGGATCTAGAGAAATTGATGAACAGGAAAGACACATTGACAGAGCAGTTTAATAAGATGAACCAGCGTCACGTGGTGATAAAAGCAGACATGTCACAGACCAATAAGAAAAGGAAGAAGACAAAGGAACTTCTTGTTGAAGAGAAAAGAAAGGTATGACAGGTTTTAAATTTTTGTGGGTGAAATTAATTAATTAAATGAATTTCCTCTGCTTTATGTTTTTATACAAGTTATGTTTCTAGAATAGTTCAGACCAACATAAAGAGACAGGGCATACTTAGTTTCTGAAAGTTAGAGAGAGAGGGGAGTGTGGAAAGTTTGGTGGTGATAGCTGTGCAATCACTGTGATATGACACACCCTTCGCCTTGCAATCTAAGTCCACGGACAATATGTGCATGTTAAAATAACAGATATTGAAGTTCCAAGTTTCTATATATTACCCCTTGTTGTGCCAAGAAACAAGTTCAGTTGATGTGATAGATTCTCTCAGGTTTCCCTTAATTTAATTGAGGAAAAATTTCGAAGCTTATTTACCATTGCATGTAAATCATATATATATATATATATATATATAGTAAAACTTGGTTATAGCAACATCAGTTTCTGTGACACCTTGTCTATTGCGTCAAATATTCAATGGTACGAACTAATTCCTCATAAAGCAACTGTTTTTATACCTTGCTTAGTACGACATGCACAAATGCATCAACCTCGTATGTAACGTCATTTTCATTCCTGAATTTCTCTGATATCGACATTGAACGTAATTTAGAAAGTGTGTATTGGGCAAGTAACAGGAAACAGATGAAGATAAC